ACATGTGATGCTATATATTTATGTTCAGTATCTAACAAAGGATGTAGATAACAAGAATGTGCAGTGAACATCTAGGACAATACATGCCACAATGCTACGAGTGACATAATCAAATTTATGTTTTAGACTGATTGAATGTTGAGAATAGATTGGGGTTGGAAGTGACAAAATGAGAGTCAAATTGAGCAATTGATTGGCTTCATCAGCCATCCAGGGAAGAGTCGATGGTTGTGTGGACAAAGGCAATAATGGCAATGGAACTGCAAAGATTTGGATGAGTTCAGAAAACATTAGGGAGACAGATGGTTGATGGATGGAATATGAGGGCTAAGGATGAGGTGGGGGAAAACTCCAATATGACACTGTGAATCAGTTGGGAGAAATGAGTACTATTTTGGATATTTGACTTTGAGATGTCAGTGAGACATGACAGGAAGCTGTCTGATACACAGTCTTTAGGTGCAGGGGAGAAACCTTGCAGAAGATAAATATTTAGGAGTTGGGTTGGGGCTGTGGCTCAGTGGTAAAACACTTGCCTCTCATGGATGAGGTACTGGGTTCGATCTTCAGCACCACATAAAAATAAATAAAGATATTGTGTCTATCTACAACTAAAAAAAAAATTTAAAAAGATTTAGGAGTCAGGAGCATATATATAGATAACAATTTAATAATATAGATAATAATTTAATACATGGGGGAGGTTGAGGTCACTGAGGGAGAGGGTATAGAGTAAGAAGGAAAGTGGGTGGAGGACAATGATATGATTTAAGAGCTGAGCAGAGAAAAGAGACCCACCAAAGAGACTGAAAAGTACCAGTAAAAGTCAGGAGGAAGAGCAAAAGAGTACCATCACAGATGCCCAGAAGCCTAGGGAAGGAGTGTTTGAGGAGAAGGAGTCAATAATACTACATGGTGTAGAGAGATAAAATGAGAGAGAAACTAAACATAGCTTGCTTGTTCTCCATTTCTTTAGGACAGGACATTTTCTATTCCTATATCTCTTAATTCTTACCTAGTTTGAATGAGTAGACTTCTTTATAGTTTGGACTTATTCTTTTCCTTAGTAATATGGCAATAAAGTTGATAAAATACCATGACACTAATATAAACCCAGAGGAAGTATCAAAGGAACCAAGAAGAAAAGTATTTGAGTTTTTGCCACATGCCTAATAATTAACATTCTTAATTTATTTGAATTCACAAAACAACCTTTTTGCACACCATGTTATAGAAGATGAACTTGAAAAGGTCAAGTAAATTCTCCATGGTGGTGCATAGCTCAGAAGTGGCAGCAGTAAGAATCACACTAAGTCTGACTCCAAAGCACCTGCTCTTCAGGGAATGCTTCCATTCCTCTGATGAAAGTCTAATGGATGAAGGGGAAGAACAAATAGAAGTTAAGTATATGTTTGCTATTGGGACATGTTTTGTTGAATTATGGTTCAGATTGAACTTCACCAGTTGTCATAAAATAATTACCACAAAATATACTTCCATACGTATGGTGGAGACTATAATGTATTTTTTGAAAAGTAAAAAAAAATCCCTCCAAATATATTTTCATGTATGACATTAAATTTGTATTTTTATTGTACTATCAAATGTTTTGATCACTGCCCACTATGCTAAATGCAATGTACTTATATTTTACAAAGAATATGATGAGGTGAGTTGCTTTTCTCCTTTATAGTTTTAGAAGAGGTCAATAGGAAAGAACAAACTTTTTTTTTCCTTTTCATACTAATAAAACTCTTTTCTACCACTGGAATGAAGACTGACCAAGAATTTGCTATTATTTTTTAAAAGATCAAATTAACTAGGAGTACTTGGGGCAATTTTAAGCCTTGTCCCTGAAAAGTTTGAGCTTTATCCCTTTTCAAATGATCCGCCTTCATGTCTATGTGCCTGGAGCAAGGGCATAAATAGAGGTCCAATTATCATAAACTTAACTATTTAGTCATGGATCAAACTCACACATTATAAATAATATATTGTCTGGGGTCTTCCTTTGGCAAATATAGCTTTATAATAACTTAGAAGGCCAGGATAGGATTTTTGGACTCTTTGGTGATCTGCCCAGAATTTGGAGCCTCTTTGCTAATCCCCACCTCTAGCTGCATCCTGCATTGCAAGGGACTTCTGGATAATACCAACCTTAACGTGAACAAAACACAAGTTGTGGCAGCAGTAAGATTCAAACCTAAACCTGACTCCAAAGCACCTGCTCTTCAGGGAATGTTCCCATTCTTCTGTTTCATTGGCCACCTCTTGGTTTTAGGGTTGCAAACACAAATAGAGGTCTTCTCTTAGGAAGATGGACCTAGGAAGACTCCCACCCAGGTCCTAGAAAAGAACCTGGAACCATCAGGGCGGGAACCATCCAGGACCCAGGTATTCAGAGTAAACTAGGAGTGGGACATGAGCTCCAGAGCAGCAAGCTCTATTTCTGGTTAGACTCCTTGGTTCTAGGGGTGTGTTGATGGAGAAGGAATAGAGTGGGGCCCTTTAGAGTGTGAGATTCAGGACATGGGCCACATTTTCCCTGATCTAAGAGGCATACAGCTTCTTGGTTTTGCACGGCTATGGTGGAGGCAGAGTGGTTCTCATCAATTACTTGGTTGGTAGAAGAAGTCCAAGGAGAGAGAGAACCAGTGCTTGTTCCTAGCAAATAATAATGATTATTTAAAGAAAAGTCTATTCCTGTATAAAATTTCTGGAAAGACTCCCAGCAGATTCTTAGGCCCTATCATCTTTCCTATGCATTGACATTTTAGTTTGGTGCTCACTCATCAAACTGTAAAATTGAGATGATTGCCTAAATTATTTCTTCATTGTGCTTTTCCTTAGCTTCAGTTATCTTGATAATTCCAGGGAGTGGAGTTCTCTAGTCTGCAGTTCAGACTTGCTGTTTAATCTCTTCTTTCAGATTTTAGACTTGGTTTGCTGAATACATTTATGAACTCACCATTTTCTCTAAACTTAGGATATAAAAGAAGATCGTCTTTTTTGTTCTATTAAGTTCCATGTTATCTTTGTCATTATGGACAAAAAAAAAAAAAAACCCCACAACTAAATAGAGTTAGACACATTAAGAGTTCTTTTCTATGCAATATTTCTTGAGAAATACTGCTGAGAAGTACACAAAAAAACCTTACTATAATCTCATCTTAATAATAATCACTTATTTCATCCATAAAAGAGAATAAATTAAGTTCCTGTGTGGTTTTTAAGTATCAAATGTAACTAAGGCAAAAAAAGGATCTATAAATATTACATTTTGTCAGAAAAGTCACTTGAAGATTGTTAAAAGCAAACTTGAAAATATTTGCTTATGCAGTGTAGGCTTTTTGAAAGTTATTTTTAAAGACTGAGGAATTAGGCACCTGTCATTTTTGCCAGCTGGTGTGGATGTTAAAAATTGCTGCCACTCTTCCGCCTGCTACTTTACTTTGCACCTGCTGCTACTTGAGTTCTGGGCATTTCACACATGGTAATTTAATAAGGTTAGGTCCCATGACTGTACAGCATGTTATCCCACTGGGGGTTAAAGCAGTTTTATAAGGCCTTGAGGGAGAAGAATTATATGTGAAGCTTGAGACTAACAATTTCATACCTTGTAGACATCATACTTTTCTAATTGAAAAATTATGAGGAAGTGAAGAAGATTGGACATTGAGCCACATATCCTAAAACAAAAATTAGTCTTTTGTGAATAGATTATTTGTATTAGTTTAAACTATATTGTGATCTTTGTAATTTGAAAAAAATATATAATTGTCTGGTATAAGACTTAAGTATATATTGAGAACTTTCTGTCTGTCACGGCAGTCATGAACCACATGTGACTATTTAGATTCAAAATTAAATACGTTAAAGTAAAGTACAATTAATGATTTAATTCCTCAGTTGCATGAGCCACATTTTAAGTGTTCTGTAGCCACCCATGGTTAGTGGTGACCACATAAGACAATACAGGTATAGATTTCCATTTTCACAGAAGGATCTATTGGATGGTGCTGAGGAAACATTTTCAAGCCCTAGTCTTAAGTGAATTTGGTCTTGAAAGTCATGAGGCCACAGTGACAAAAGAGTGATTTTAATGTCCCAACATCATCTTGGTCATGAAAACACAGGCTAAATTTGAAGTATTATCTACTAGAATCCAAGGGACTTTTGCTAGAAGGAAGGAGCTTTTGACCTGAAACTCTCAATGTCAGAAAATGTTGTTTCACCTTCCAAAAATACATAATACTTGCAAAAGATTACAAGTATCTTTTAAGAGAGGTAGGGGGGAATAATTTATCACTCATCTCTGTCTGATTATTCAAATACTACCTTTCAGAATCTGTTCTGAAGAAAAAGTGATATGGGATAGCGTTCTGAGATGATAAAGTAAGTTTATTAAGTAAACTTTTCCAATTAGTCTTACTATGTTTTTATATTACTAAGACTGAATTGAGATTTGGGAACCTGGGCATGTAAAGTAGGGAGATCATAGTAGGAGAAAGAGAGAGACTATTAATAAACAGGATCTTGGATCTTGAGTTCTTAGCTTGGGCAATAATCCCATCCCCAGAGAGGATTTTTTTTTTTTTTTAAACATTAACAACTGAAAGGTCACTTTGAATTTTTCTTTTAAGACAGTCTGGGAGAAAGACCAAAGGCTTGCTAGTTTTCTAGTAGCTAGATTGTTACAAGAAACTAAATAGATGAAGCCATAATCACAATTTATATAAATCTGAAATCATTCTGCTTTCACCTTAAATTGCATGGATAGTTTACATTAAAACATCTCTGATCCTATGTGAAGTTTTTCAGTTCTTTATTTCACTTTTTTGGTAATGTATAATTATCTGTGTTATTCAAGTTGCAAATGCTCTGTAGACTATAATGATTCTTTAGTAAATTCATCAACATTCTGTACATTTAATGAAAGATTTGAGGTTTCAAAAATTATTTTCACAAAGCAACAAAATAAAAACAATGTGACTTGGATATTTCAGACTGACCAAAATTGTTTATTGATATGATATTTTAAGGATGCCTGTTGACCCATGGTAGATAATAAAGAGTATTGCTTTGATATGAGATTGCCAATATTTTATTTTATTGTTGTCTAGAGCAACAGACATTTGGTTTGTGTGGTATGAATATATTTCAGAGAAAAACTTAAGGTGTATAAAAATTCAGAAAGTCCTTCAGTCTAGAGTGATCCAGATTGTTTTTGTTTCTCTGAATGATGGTAAAGAGATCTGGACAGTTAGTCATGGATGTTACTTAAAGTGGACTCGAGCCAGTCTTCCTAAACAATGCTTGTTCTGTAAAGGAAAAGGGAAAGCAAGTTAGATGTTGATCCCATATTTTCAGAAAGAAAACTCCGGAGGAAATAATGTGACATGCAAAAGAGGAAAAAAGCACAAAATAAACCAGTGCTTATAGGGTAAGCCACTTCCTTGTTGTAAGAACTTGGTTGCAAGTCCTTGAATTTGGACTGTTAAAACACAGTGCTTTAGATCAGTAATTGTTCAAGCTAATTTAGTTATTCAAAGGATGTAGGCTCATGATTTCATTAGTGTTGGGGTTCCAATAAAATTAATTAACTTGTCTTTAGTTAGTTGAGTCCCCACTGCTTAATCATAAGTGTAGTTAAGGGGGTTTATGGGTGGAAGCAAAAACATCGCAAATTTTGCTTGGACACTCATATAAGTATGTTTTATTTCTAAATAACCCATCTCAAGTATTTCAAGTTTTCAGGCTTATGAAGACAACTCTTAATTAGAAACCAATACTAATTACATCTACAGCATATAAAGTGAAGCTGTTAATTAAAAAAAATACAGTATTGAGAAAGCAGTATATATTACAAAGGAACAGACATCTACCTTGAGAGCTCCGTTTAGATAGACATGATGTGCTTGACAAAAGCTGTCGGGGTAACAGGGGTAGTTCAAAGTTAGAAAACAGTCAACTTTAATGAAAGAGAAGTTTAGATTAACTTTATTTTCTACACGACATCCACTTGTCTAAATCATACGATTGAATGATTCCTCTATGTAATGTGTTTATAGTAATAACCAAATGTGGAAAAATTGTTTACAGGAAAAAAGTGAAGTTTAATCAAGATTGCCAGTGAAGATCTGTCTGGCTTGGTACTTTCCTTCTCCCCTTTCCTTCCCTCCCCTTCCCTTCCTCTTCTAATTCCTCTTCCCCCACCCCCTGTGCGTTTCCTTTTATTTTCTTGCTTTCTCTGAGTTGTGGGACTTGGTAAGTTTTTAAAACTCTCAACGTAGGTTTATTGAAATTAACTTAGTCCTCTTTGGGAATAGACAAATTTTTGGTTTTATTGAGAAATTTTAAATTTGCAAATCACATTATGCAACTTTATTTTGCATCTTTAGTTTCTGTGGTACATGCTTTTTTTATACTGTTTGGGTAGAAGTTGCTGTAAATGTTAGCAAGAAATAAAAAAATCTCTACTAGAGGATGACTTTTATGTAAGCAAGAACACTGGACAAGGAGAATTAAGCTTTATTACTAGCCCTGCCATTAATGATTTGAGCATCACTAAAGCTCTTTGGTCCTCAGTTTCCTCATTTTTATAATTGCTTGGTATTAGTAAAGGACTTGAAAATCTCCCTAACTTTAATATACTATTACATATGATTTTGATGCAAAACCTGTCTACTTCACAGGGACGTTGTGAAGCTCTAGCAAGGAAATACACATTAAAACACATTCGATTGCTAAGACATATTGGAATAAATCTCACACGTATCTCTTCATAGACTATCTTTTTGGAGTTATGTGGTTGATTGATAATAAGTAACATATGGGTATTAATAAAGAAGGAAGAGGAAAGCAGTTTATTTTAAATAATTCAAAAAGAGTCTATCAGCAACCCAACCAGTTAAGAGGGACTAAAATCACCAGTGCACACTGATTATACCTTCATAGTTGATGCAGCCATTGGAGTCTTCTTGACCTGCCATCAGGGCTTCTACTTCTTCCTCTTTCATCTTTTCACCTATGAAACAAAACCCCTTTTAAAGAAATGAGGCAACAGGATATTTTCAAATCTACCAGAATATTTTCAAATCTACCATAAATGACGTGCTATGATTGAACTCTTGGAGGACAAAAAACTATTCCAATTTCCTTCACACTCAGTAGGATGTTTTCAAATGACTTAAATGCACATTATCCCTTGTCATCCAAACTACATCCTATAAGAAGTACAATGTTTTCCTTTACTTATTCATTGGCCTCGCTGTTGCAGAAGCCAATTGAAATAGTGATTGACTTTTGAGTATTCGTTTTTCATGTTTTCTTTGTAGACTTTCTCCATGCCTATTTTTGTAATTACATGGTTCTTCTGTGTTCTTTCCTGTACATTCTGTTTTGTTAAGTCCACTGGAATAAATGCTTACCCAGGGTGGCTAGTACGTGGCGGAGTTCAGCCCCCATGACTGTGCCATTGCCTTCCTTGTCAAAGACACGCAGACCCTCAACAAAATCTTCATAGGTTCCCTGGTCCTTGTTGTTGGAAATAGCTTGCATCATGGGTAGAAATTGTTCAAACTCGATTTTCTTGGCATTCATCTCTGAAAGAAATCGCAGTTTGGACAGTTTGTAGCCACCATAAAACACCATCTCTGAGTCACAAATGAAAGCTGAAAGTTCATTCCAGATGATCTAAAAAAATCTTCACACAGTTTAAACTTCAGATGTTGAATTACCAAAATGACAAAAATATGGCAAAAGGCAATATCATATGTTCTGGAGTTCCAGTCCCATTTGTTCCTGTACTACTGTGTGACACTGGGCAACTTTCTTAACCTATATGTGTGTCAATTTTTCATGTGTAAAACAGAAATACCTCAGAGTGTTATTGTGGGAATTAAATAGATAATGCATGTAAAGCTCATTGAAATACTTGGGACATGCCAGGCATGGAGATGCATGTCATGCCTATAATACCAGTGCAGTGGCTCAGGAGGCTGAGGCAGGAGGATCACAAGTTCAAAGCCACCTTCAACAACTTAGTGAGGCCCTAAACAACTTAATGAGACCCTGTTTCAAAAGGAAAACTAAAAAGGAATGAGGATGTGGGTCAGTGATTAGGAGGGTTTAATCCCTGGCACCAAAAACAAAAACAAAAAGACAACCAAAAAAAAAAACAAACCAACAATAACAAGAAAAATCTTGGGACAAATTGAGTGCTTAAGAAATGCTACCTACCATTTTATTACTATTGATAATTTAATATTTTCCATAAATACTAGGGAAGCAATAAAAAATTATACTGGGATGCCACAAACACATTCCCATATATATATAGTAAAAATTAACTGTACTTTACTACATATTCTGCCTATGTCCTGAGCTTTGGCAGGGCCTTTGCTTTCTTTAAATTTTAAGTAATTTTAAAAAGAAGCTTATGAGGAAAGGGTGTGTGTCAAATACTCTGTGATCTCATGACTTCTCTGCAATTTAGAGGTCTAGAAATGGGAGAACTTTCTTTAGTGTCTCTGACAAGGTAGATATCATTCCCAGTAAAAGTATAAAATAGACTATCCAGATGTATGCAAATGGATAAAATTATATACTTGCAAAATAAAAGTTCCCCAGTTCTTCTCTTGTAGAAGTCAAATACATTGGACAATATTAGAAAGATTAAATTTGAGTGCTGAATTTGTTCAATAATTCCATTAAAGATGGATGTTGGCAAGTCAGACAGTGACATTTGAAAATAAGGGTTAGACTATTGCTTTCCCACTTATTTCATACTCATCTGCTTTCTGCATGATTAAACTAGAAATTTATTCTAAAGAAAATGGAGTCTGAGAAACAATTCTAAAGCAGGCCAATTTAGAAGCAAGTTTTCTTGAAAGAAAGGTTCTTACCCTCCTTTTTAAAATGAAGGAACATTTCTAAAACATTTTTAGTTACCAAGGAGAAATATAAGATTATTTGCCTAACCCTCTTGTTTTTTTTAACTAATGGCAAAGATCAACAGCTCAACTATCTACTTGAGAAAACTTACTGTTTTGTATATCCTGTTTTTTTCTTTCTTTCTTTTTTTTTTTTTTGTTTAGAGTCGTATTTTCCAATAGACTGTCATACTTTGCTGTGAACCACTGAGGTTAAAAACAATTTCCTTGTTCCAGACTAATGATTGGATTTCTGTATCAAGTGAATGTTTTCTGCAATTTTGCTGTTTGTGTATTTCTCTGATTTTTGTTCCAGGATTTACCTTGGGAGACTGAATGCAGAGTTTGACTTGAGATTTTTAAAGCTTTTAAAAAAATTATTGGAAATAGAAAATGCCCTTGTTAAGATGTCTATCTATCTATGCTTAATTAAGAAACCTGAATTTCTTTTGAGACAGGCACAGAAGCAGTGTAATGGTCAGAGAACAGGGCAAAGTTAATAGGTATTTTTTAAATATCTTCAAAATATTGCAACTTTATTTCCACAGTTTTTATCAAATATTAGATTTTCTCTAGAAGTATGCCATTGTAATTTACCCAGAATCCTATACAAAGTGCATTATATTTTAACTGTATTTAACATCTTTGTCGAAATGCACTTTTTCCTTTGAAGGTTTGAAGTTTAAAATAATGTGCAAATTTGGATGTTATTTGTTTTATTAGCTCTGAGATTATGAACATTAGATATGATAATAAGAATGATGTTCTTAGCATCAGACATTATTTGTTTTCATAATCACAACATTTTATCATGCTTGCAGGTTCTCAAATGAAGGTTAACTTATTTTGCAAGGGAAAAAGATAGGATTCTAGATGGCTAACAGGCATATTTGCTACCATCAGGAGTAAACTGAGCCCCACTTATGCATGCATGCTTTAGCTACACTTCCATAGATCTTGGAAGAACTGATGTGGTTACCTTCATTGCTGGGGTTCCCCAGAACCTTCTTGACCTCTGCATTGGTGGGATTTGTGCCCAGTGCCCGAAGGACATCACCAACCTGGCTTAAGGTGATCTTGCTATCACCTGTTTTGTCAAACAGGAGAAATGCCTCCTTGAAGTCTGCAAAAAACAAGGAACATTAGGGTTTTTTATTTTTCTTTCTCAAACCTATTAATTAACCCTGAGTCCTTCAAGGATTTACTTAAACTCTTCTGTTTTACAAGTTTGCCAACCACTTAAGTTGTCATTGTCAAACTCTGTTTTCCTACCTCAAACAATCATTGGCAAACCTTTTTGACATTTCTTTTTGGAATTCTCTTAAAGCAGCATTTCTAAATTCTAGTCATATGTTATTGCTAATTAGATATGGAAATCAGACATCGTAGTCATATTTAGTCATATTTCCTTGTCTGGGACTGGGCTAAGAGATTCTGAGGCCTTGATAAATCCTAGTAATCTTTATCTAGTCCTTCATAAAACTAGCAAGATTAATACATTTCAAGAAAACAAATTTTTGATCAGGATTGTGTTATATGTTATTAACCCATACTTCTCAGATTATATAGAAAAGGCTTCTCTCAAGGTACAAATTTCTTAGGTTGTTCTCTGGACAGTTTTCTTCAGAAATAACTTCATTTTTCAGGACAAATTTAGAAACACGAGGCAGGCCTGTAAATTCTGCAATGTCTAACCATTTCAATGTTTGATGCTAGCAGGCTCCTAGCATAACTAATTCAGAAGGAGAAATATTTTTTGGATCGAATGTTATAATATTCTCTTTACACTTCACTCTGTTTTTCAGATAATACATATGACAGCATGCTGCTATACCAGCTTTTGAATTCAAGTACACACTCTTTATTAAAATTTATGGAAATAATTGGTTCACATGAAGTTGCAAGAAATAATTCAGGGAAATTCCTTGTATACCTGGTTTTCCCCAATAGTAACACTTTGCAAAATCATAGAATATTACTGTAACCAGGATATTCACATTGACAGACCCCAGTGATTTTATTCACATTTCCCCAGTTTGCTTGTATTCATTTATGTGTGTATTAAGTATGTATTTTAAAGTGCTATTCTTATCACAGTCACTTATTTATTATTCTCCCTGTATTTTGTCATTTTCTTTTGATAGAACTGGTCTTGTCTTTAAAATTTACAATGATAAAGAATTTGAAAAATACATAATGAAAAGACAGGAAGGTACAATACTAAGAACATAGGGGACAGTAAGTCATTTTACCTGAAAATTCTAAACTTAAATCAAAATTTCTAGGAAACCCAGAACTACTAATGGTTACTGATTGGAGTTAATGTCAGTAACACTCAGAAAACCATTTGTGAGTGAACTATAGGGCTGAAAGCACTCTTTTTAGCTATCAGTGGTCTTAGGTTAAAAGATGCTATCTAGATAGATTACACAGCCAAATATCCTTTTTACTCTCTCTCTACCCCTAATCTAAGATTGTATCAGACACTGTATTCATGACTAGTTACAGTTCATGTTATCACTCTTTGCTAAAATCCTATGCATTTGACTATAATGGATTTAAAAAAAAAAACATGCTGCAGGCCCTATGGTGTCATTAGTCAAATATTATTTTTCATGTTTCTAAGGGACACGTGAAATGGAACTATTCTTGTTATTGGCTCCAGGCTTTAGGGACAGAGAGCTCACAATTACCTTGGTCAGATGCTGATGTAGAAATAGAATTTTATGAGTTGTAATGAAATCACTCTGACATTAATCCTTTTGGTGTTTTAAAGGCAGAGGTCAGAAAAATTCTGTTCTTTCTACCCCAGGTTTTTAATGCAAGCCTTAGTTATTCTCTTGAACATGGATTGGCAAACTACTTCCCAGGGGCTTCTTGCTTGTTCAGTGAAAGTGTGATTGGAATATGGCCATCTCCATTTCTCTATGTTTGTAGTTGTTTTCATACCTTGGTGATAGAATGGAGTTGTTTTTAGACTATAACACCAGGAAAGCCTAATGCATTTACATTTGGTCCATCAATAAAAAAATTTATGACCTCTGATCAAGAATAGCACTGTTTTAGAACTTTCTGGTAATGATAGAATTGTTCTCTATTTGCCCATTATGGTAACTACTAGCTGTGGCTCTTGAGCACTTAAATGTGACTAGTGCAATTGAGGAAATGGATTTCAAAATGTATTACTTTTTCATTAATTAATGCATAAATAGCCACATGGGCTAGTGGCTACTTTATGGAACAGCATAGGACTTAGACCTTTAGCACGCTATAATTTTCTAGTTTTTTTCTTCAATCCTATTTTCTTTCTTTCAATTTAATTAGAGCAGCATGAACAAAAATCTTTAATCATTAAACAAGGAAATAAACTATTCTTCATTCATTTCTGAGAGTATAGGATTTCTGTTTAAGCAGCTTACATTTGTTTTTCACACATACACACACACACACACATACACACACACATATATATACACACACACACACACACACACACACACAAAACCCCAATCTACTACACCAATGTTTACCCAACTTCTGTGTCTAAAACTTATTTAACTTGTGGAGTCATAGGTTTTGTGCTTAACAGGAAGTCCTTTTGACCTGAAAAAATTTGAAATCTTTCGCTTCTTGGTCTTACATTGTTTGGTAGTCCTAGTGACACTGCATGTTAGGAATGTGAGAGAACTGGGATGTGATAGCCGATGAGGTAGCAGCATCACTAGTTAAAAGTTAATTAAAATAAAACAAATTATAGTAAACAATTTGTAGAAAACTATTTTCAATATATAAAACAGTTCTTCACAATATCATTTTAAGTGATCGTAAGTTATAATCCAATCTATCTACATGAGGTCACAGCCATGCTGTAGATGCCAGTGAGTCTGTACAACAGCAAATACCCTTTTTATTCTTAATTGACTTACAGACATAAAACATGACTGAAAAGAACTGAAAAATGTAAGATCCTTTAGGCACAGAATAAATTGAACACATTCTTATTAATCACCCATGTCTATATCTTCTATGTCATAATATATATAATATACACATACTTAAATTGACCAATATTCTAATCTGTATAACATTATGTAACTAAACTCTTTTGCCCCCTCATTTCTATGAATTTTTTTGTCCAGTTCATTCAAATTTGGTGACAATTTCACTTTATAAACATTTCTTCATAAATTTCCTAATGAACAAAATTAGATCTTGGGGGATCTGTTGATTTCAAAGACCCAAAGGGAAGAAATTGAAGTGCAAAAGAAACTATTTGGATTCTCTTGAATCTCAAGAGTTTGGGGTCTCCCCATTGGTCATTTTTATAAAAGAAATTTTTAATTAGTTTGAAGTCAAACCAAATTTTTAATCCCATCACTAATTCTTTGGGTCCTTTAGCAAGACTTATCACTTCTCTGGGTGTCTGTCCTGTACCTCTAAAGAGGAACTGGAGCAGGAGGTGTCTAATATTCCTTCCACAATTCTATGATAAATTACTCCTTCCTTTTTTTTTGTCTCTGAATTCACTTTTGTACTACAGCTCACTATTGTGAAGAATTTGTAATTGGGCAGTTTTATAATTAACTTTATTTTCCATATTGAACAATTCACACTCATCAAATTTCTCTTTAGAGGTTTGATTAGCAAATTATTCTTCCCAAATCTACATCTTTTTGTAAGTATACACATCTATTACTTCTTGTATCAAGTTAGTTTTATTTAGAAATCAGTGCCTATAAGGACTCATTATTGTGGGGTTTACCTTTTATTTGCTTAAATCTTTGATTACTGATTATAAGCAAAGGCTTCAGGTTGAATGAATTTATATTTAGAGTGACTGAGAGCAATTTATATTTAGAGTGGCAACACAGGTGTGAATAATTAGGAAGAGCTTAGCTCAACCCAAGGGAGCTGGTTTTCTTACATACCATCTTTATGAGTGTGCACATATTAACAACTAGAGCTTTTAAACTTACCATCCTGCTGTTCCTTAGAGAACTCGATCTGTCAGAAAGAAATTAATCACAAAGAATATTTTAACCAAACAAAAATGTCCTGATTTTTAAGTGTATCCAGCTCATTCCCTGAATAATCTTCAAAGTAAGCTTCAAAAGTCAGCCTACTTTTCCGAGTTCAGGCATAGCTTGGACACCAACAGGTTCAACCACAAAGTAGCATGCCTTGGTGTTAACTGATAGTCCAGAAACCAGACAGTGCTCTGCCCACATCTGCAACAGAGACTCTCAAATCACTTACCCGCAATCTGGTCAGCACTGAAGGACTGCAGTGGTGAGAGAGAGAAAGAAAGGAACAACTAGTACTCTTTCAAATGCATTGACAGAAGGATTGCTCTCTGCTCTGAGACTTAGGAAGCCATGTAGGTGTCATAGCATAAGAAGGTTGCCTTAGGGTACTTTTAAATCTAGGAATACAAAAATCTATGGCAAAAGATAATTAGGGAAAATTTTTCTGTATCTTAAATAAGGAAATAATTAATAAATGTTCAATCAGATACTTCCTAAAATAATTCAAAACCCTATGATAAAGATATGCCTGATTAATAAATATGCATTGTATTAAAAAATGATTAGCTGCATTTAAAACACCACCTTAAATCTTTCTGCAGTTGCACCAGTACATTTTTATATTAGTATACAATACTGGAAGCACTGGAAGTAGTTTACTTGATTCTAGCTATCAATATAACTGGGGTGTATCTTAGGTCATACTATCTTGCAATAGTTTCAGTATTCCCCCTAAATTTAAATATCCTAAACCTTATGTGATATAGAAAAAGCATGAAGTACTACTGCTTTGGGAAGTAAGATGCATTTTTCCAGTTTGCATATTAGTTCTAATTAATCTCTTCTATCTTCAACGTACCTCCCAAAGTATCCCAAAGTACCCCAAAGTAGAGTCTCAAGATTTGTTCTGGCTCTTTTCTCTCCTCAATTCCCTTCCTCCTGTCTGCCTCTTTCCTCAATAAGCTTCTCATCACTATTGCTATCCTCCTATGAACGACAAGTAGTTCTCTTATAGGACGCACCATGATGGAGCTGCTGGGCTGCAGAACGGGTCAAGCCTGAAGAGTGAGTTGAGGGCCGCTCCAATCCCTGAGTGGGGCCTCCTTCTCTGAGGCTTCCCTTTATTTCTGGGCAAACTGACCTCACTGCTAGCATCGAGTTTCAGAGAGAAGTTGCCCCTCCCATTGGAGAGTTCTTTAGCTTTCTTAGGGCAAAGGGAAGAGGGAACTGTACCCTGAGGGCTATTTTTAGGAAACCAGAACCTAGGAGTGGACAGCCTTGGTGAGATGGAAGCCTGTCAGTACTTTTATGGTCTTTAGCTCCTGGACATTTGTGGGCAATGTCTTCCTTTAAGAAACTTCTCTGCTTAGTGGCAGAAAAGCTCGGAACTTCTCTAATGGCTCAGGCTGACCCCTTCTCTTGGTGAATTATGGACTTTGTGAACTTCTAGTCAACAAGCTTTGGTGCTAATGGAACTTCTTGGATGGGACTGGTTGGGGTTTCGAATGACAACTGCTACAGAAAGAACATCCTCTGAAGCTCTGTCCCATATGGTAAAGTTCAGAGGACATGAAAAGGCCACATGCTCTGTGTTTCTGAGAATGCATTTAAGTGGCAATCTGTCAGTTCTCAAAATCCTCAATTAAACACCACTCTTTTGCGAGTAGTATTCCAAGAGAATTAATCTAAGCAAAGGATAGTTTTCATCTCCATTTTCTAGCATTCTCCGTTAGTCTTCTGACTTTAGGTTTTGGGGATTTTCCTTCCTCCTTAGTAGTCTCTAAAGTGGATGATTTGTCATATTTTTTTCAATTTCTGAAGTGCTTCTAGTCAGGAAGTACTTCAGACAGTCCATTTTTGTATCCTTCTTATTCTATGCGTATTATTATTCTATGTTTAAAATTTAGCATAAGTTTTTACTAGATCATGCTGATTCTGTTTCTGCCTTGAAACTTTATGGATGGGTCTCCAGACTGAGAAACAAAGAACCCAAGGCAAAACTTGTGGAGTGCAAAATCGTACTTGAACGTTTTAGAGCTGTCTAAGGACTTGGCCAGCAAGGGTTTTTATGCCAGACTATCTGAAAACAGTGAGAAACTCCCTTCTAGAAAGGTATTGGGAAAAGTGGTACTTGAAAAGATCAGTGTTAGGATGGATGCCCACTGCAGTTCAGAGAAAACGTTGGTCATTTTTCCTACTTATTTAAAGCAGCTTAGGGGCATAAAGAATGTTGGAGATGAACTGTAACTCAAGTATTGCTTCTTGCAACTATTTTCAAGGATGCTCATAAGTATCTCCTGCCAGAAAGATACAAATCTGAAGCTAACCCACAAACCATTCTAGAAGAAATCAACATTTAATTATGTACCACTTTTGGCCCAAAGTTTACAAGTTATGTCAGGATCTTGAGATTTGAATCCCAAAATGAAAATCTAAAATATCATTTTTAAGTTATTAGGTAAACAAATTGACATTTTAAAAGGCTTTTGAGAAATGAAAAGTTAGTAAAAGGATTCAAAATGCTTTGAATCACAAAGGGAAAATGGAAGCGGTCAAAGGTTGAAATTTATAATCTTTAGTAATTGTGTAACTTAGAATTTCATGATTTTTGATATGTAGAGTATGTTACCTTTGTGCCTTTTTTAGTTTTGTAACATGTAAATGGGTCATAAATTTGAATTGCTCTGAGATTACTAATGAGAAGTAGCATATATTTTTAGTAGTGCTAATAACTATAAATACTACAAAATTAAACATAAAAGTTGACGTACTAGTCATAATGATCATTTTCCTATTTTGTTCTTTCTTTCATGGAGAAAAATGTGTCCTTATATATATATAAAAATATGATTAGTATATATAAAATCTTTTGGGTAAACTAGAAAATCAATATAAAAATTGTACTTACGTTATGAATAAACCATCTCTAACCTCTGGATATCATGTAAAAATTTGTTATTATTAAAATAGGAGCTGCAAAGTGATAGGCAGGTATCAAATTATTTCTCCCTAGTTTTTCCCCATATCTTTGTCACAGAGAAAAAGAGCTTCAGTTTTTTTGTACCTACTAAGTATCAAAATGTACATTTGAGCACACTATTTGACAGTAGGGAAGCCTACCCTATAGCTTAGGCTAGAGAATAAACTGTGTTTTCAAAGTTAGAAGACCTAGATATTGTGCTCATAAAATAATCAGGAAATGCAATTTAGTCTCTGGTACACTTTTATGACCTACAAAGCATGGCCTGCATCATTTCCTGGGTGTTGTAATAGTGATGTAATTAGCCCTTTGAACAAAGGCACAGCATGAATCCACAAAGTCAGCAATGATTTGGGCCTGGGTTTGCTATACCATCTCTGTTTGCTTTAGAGATTGGCTTTCAATCTTTTCTGTCTGGCTTGCTTTCTTCTCCCTCTTTCTCTCTCTCTCTCTCTCTTTTTTTTTTTTTTTTTGAAATTAGACATTCTTCAAAGCCCTAATAAAACCTCCTCCTCTCCAAAGCCATTTTCTCCTGGTGTGAACCTGTGTGTCCTGCCCCCTCTGCCCCTGCCATATTGCCCTTGCCTTGTTCCTAGGTTTTGTCCTTCACTACTCTTCAGGATAGTTTGTTCTGTTAAATGCTCAATAGATTTTCATTAAATTAAAGTCATTAGAGCATAAGTCTAGTAAGCTCTTCCTTTAAACTCAAGTTCTTCCTCTGGAATATTCCGTTCCTTGGGGACAGAGACATTTATCTGTTCTTTTAAAAAGCTTACATTGTAAAGAAATTAGAAATGTTTTCCTTCAGTGCTGCCTCTCTAGCACCTAGAACTGCTGGCACTTAGTTTATCTCAAATTATTGATATATGTACCTTTTATATATCCAATACTTTCCCTTAGACTTTATAAAAATTTTTATGAGCCAGACTTCTAATTCGCCAACACTCAATTTTTCTTAAAGTCTCTCTCTCTCTTCAAATTCCTAGCCTATGTATTTTTCTTACAGTTAGTACAAGGCTGCATTGCACATTTTTATGACTCATGTACTAACATTTGTGGTTGGGTTTAAGTAAGTAATAGTCTGAGACACTGCCACTAAACATAATTTTTATTCAAAAATTTACAGATTATTTTCTACTTTGGAAATCATATTTCTACTAGTAATCATGAGATTTGGTTAACTGATTTAAGATACTGTAGTCTCATATATATATATGAATGAAATTGCTTTATAAGGAATATATTAATATTCAGTTAAACAATCTCTGGAATTGATATATGTTAAATTTTATTACAGTAAAAGAAGAAGAGCTATAATTAAAGATAATTACATCTTTACTAGTAGTATATGATGTTGCATACTAGGAGCAAATTCCTTAGGAAGGAGCCGGGACCACAATCTTCAAAGAACATCGTTGTCCCTTGGGGGATAATGGAGACTGATGACAGGTAAGATTGAGAAGCTGACTAACGAGAGCCAGTTTTCAGTCAAGAGAACATTGCTGTACATTCTCTGATTTAATGCCTGGCAGAGGGACCAAAGACCTGGATACATATACCCCCTTAGAAAAAACTTAACCCAATTTTACAGGATTTCTAGAACCCACCATAGAAGGTCTCTGGAAGTAATATTTTGTAACTCTTGGAATTTTATGCTTCAGAATAACACACTTAAGTCAAAGGAAAAAATGTTTTCCTTTTTTTAAAAAAATTTCAACAATGGATATATGTAGGCTGGTTACTAGAAATATAGTAGAAAGAGGAGAAATTAAGAGTGATGCAATTACATTACCAGTTGAGGTTCTCTAGTACAGGAGAGTCAAGTGGTTAGACTGTATAAATTGGTCTGAATTGAGACAGAATGCATAATTCTGTGCTCAGCAGACTTAAACCAGTCAACTGAATTCTGTCACTAAGAGCAAAGGCTGACTTGTTAAAATAACACAATTCAGACCTATAAGAACAGAGACATGGGTGAATCTTCGTAAAGACTTAAAAAT